AGCAATTGGACTTGCGGTTTTTAACAAGAAGTCGAAAATTTAATTTTTTACCAAAAATGACAAAAATATTCACCAAAATTAGAGAATTGAAGATATCATCATGAAATGAACAAATCTGAGAGAGGTCTACCCAAGGTACATATACACCAAGTATCAAAGCATTCAGGCTTGTAGTTTTCAAGAAGAAGTCGAAAAAGTAAAACATTGACACGGACGACGGACGACGACGACGGACGACGACGGATAATCACTCATATGATAAGCTCCGCTCGACAAAGTCGACAGCGGAGCTAAAAATAAAATGACATGCATCAGGAACCTGTAATGTCTAATGTATGTACCAAGTTTGAACGAAATCCATCCATAAATGCCAGAAATGCTTGATATTTGATGATTTTTTGGCACAAAAATGACCACCATTCGGCCATTTTGAATAGGATCATCAAACCAATACATATATCTGTTTATCTATGACATGATGTATAATGAATATTTAAAATTTGAATATAATCAGTCAAAACAAGTCGGAGATATGGGTCTAGAAGCCCATTCATTAAAACAAAATGGCCGCCAGTCAACCATTTTGAATCCAATCTGAAAAAAATAAAATGACATGCATCAGGAACCTGTAATGTCTAATATATGTACCAAATTTGAACAAAATCCATCCATAAATGCTTGATATTTGATGATTTTTTAGCACAAAAATGACCACCATTCGGCCATTTTGAATAGGATCGTCAAATCAATATAAATGTCTATCTATGACATGATGTATAATGAATATTTAAAATTTGAACATAATCAGTCAAAGCAAGTCAGAGATACATTATGTATGGCACGAGAACCACATTCATTAAAACAAAATGGCCGCCAGTCGGCCATTTTTAATCTTATCTGAAAAACAAAATTATTTGCATCAAGGTCTCATAATGTTTAATGTATATACTGTAAAATGACTAATTTTCACTGGGTTTAAATTTCACTGATTTACCATTTCAGGCATATTCAGTGGGTTTTAAATTCACGGTTTTATCATTTAGATAATGTGTTCTATGCTAAATTTTACATATTCACTGTGTTTTAATTTAGCGCATTTTTCCAGTCAGCGAAATAAGCTAAATTAAAACCCAGTGAATAATTACCCCCTTTACAGTAGCCAAGAAATGCTTGATTTTGATGATTTTTAGCACAAAAATGGCTGCCATTCGGCCATCTTAAATTAGATCAAGAAACAAATTGACGTGCATATGTATAATATCATGTATGATGTATGTATGAAGTTTAATTGTGATTGGTCCAGGCATCTCTAAGATACAGGTCCGTACGCACGCACAGATGCACGCACGCACGCACACATGCACGGACACACAGAGGTCAAAACATAAGTCCCCGTTTTCGGACTGTGTTCGAACGGGGACTAATAACATACAGTCTTCATAAAAAACACTCTGAATAAATAGGCGGTTAAAATCTGCATGTAATGACTAGCAATTATAATAGATTTAGTTGTGAGAATTGATAAATATATATCTTACTCTTTCACACATTCTGCAAATTCCAGTTGTACTATTGATCTTTTTTCCACACTTCCAGCAAGTTTCATATACAATGACAGGCTCCACATGACCAGATTCCTCTTCATCATCATTGTCGGCTTCTATGGTGACCTTTTTGGATGCTTGTTCCTTTAGTTTGGACTCTGGTAGGGTAATTTTGGCTTTAGGATCTTTGAAGAAAACAAATCCGTTAATTAAATGTTTATATTATAACAATTGCTGGAATCATCAAAACAATGACGTAAACAACTACCAAAAAGAAACTGTGTATTGAAGAATTTATAAAACTTCACTAAACCTGGAATTATATATTTCATGTATAGATAAATTTAAAGCACGGAATATTACAGTAAATTCCAGAACTGTATGAACCAGCACAAACATAAGAAATAACTGAATGTTACCCATTGGCAAAGCATTTTAAATATATCAAACTTACCTGTTGGTGGCAGCCATGATACTTGATCCGTTTCCATATTCCAATAATATTCATGGCCTCTGATATTATGAAAAACAGTTGTTGATATTAAAGTGAAATGTACAATGTAGTGTATAACAATCTGTATCACAAATAATCCTTCCTTTCCCATAACAATTTGCATTTCAAAATATTCATAAAACATACTCAACACTTATAATTACTAGTGAAGTACAAGAG